ATAGCAATGGTCTATAATCATAGACCAGTAGTGCCGCTGTCTCTTATACACATCTAGATGTGTATAAGAGACAGCTATGTATACACTACACTACGTATACATGCAATGTATACAATGCAAATGTTACTCCCATGTCAAACAATATAAACTGGTAAATAATGGGAGTGTAGTAAAATCAGTGGCGTATTTAGGGGAGGATGCACCCCCACCTTAGTAGCCTTCTTCCCCCTCCCACATTGAAAATGTTTGAAGCAAAAAAAAAATCATGCTCAAGTAGTTAAAAAATCACTTCATATCACCTTATTTTGCAAGCTAGCTCCCCACCTCACATCAAGCCCCCACTTCAAATTCAAGCTCCCATTAGTTCCTCCACCCCCACATTCAAGACTCCTAAATACATCAATGAAAACCTGACTAGATTCAAACCATACCTCCACGCTAGTAAAAGTGTGCAGTCTGCTAGAATAGCCATCTTGGCTAATTCTTTCAATGGATGTCTAGGATCTTTCTGAAATTAACAAAAAGGTTTCATATGTTACAAAATGTCCAAATGTTAATTTCTCTTGGACATCAATTCTATAGTATTTTGTGCCGGCCTTTTTACTTCTTGCTTTTCTGTTAGCCCACGAGTGGGATGCTACTGTCAGTGGCATGCCACAACTAGACACATGTCAGACCGCCACAATTTCATTGACTTTAACAATGGACCACAGTCTGAAAATAGAACCAGGGAGCAACAGCATTAGAAACCCCATACAGTAATTTGAAATGGTATAATTCAAAGACTTCCCTTACTATATCAACTTGCACCAGCAGTAACCTCAGCTCGAACATGTTGCTAAGTGATTTTAATCTGCCATGGATATAATTAGGATTCAGAAGATGGTACCGCAAGCTATAAAAACAAACAAAATACCATTGCAATCACAAAACCAAATTGGTCAATTATATACTGCCAACTTCTATGGGTTTTATTTCTTCAGTGTGAAATACACAATGGTCCCACTAAAGAAAGAAGTCCTTTAGTTGATAAATTGGGCAGAAACACAGAAATCTCCTGCACACCACGATTGCTCACAGGACCTCCAATTACAGACCACTTCTGGGACCATGACCTTAAGTAGTCTTGGTCTCTAATTAGAATAATAAATATAAAAGACATCTGTCAAATATGGGACCACAGAAAAGTGGTCTTTACTTGGAGGTGGTCTTTAATTGGAGGGAGACCTGTATTTAAAAAAAAATCAAAACAAAACTGGGGGGTTTCAGATTGCAACAAAATTGGAGAATTTGTGTAATGCCGGTCCAAGACAATTGGAAGTTGTCTCACTTTGGAGGTCATCCGGCTACATATGTATTTCTTATCTGGTTCTTATTGTCTTTCGTCACATCATTTTACAAGCGTGGTAACTTACCTCAAATACAGCGCACATGATGTTTTCCCCATTATATAATCCGGAACAATTTCACGGTATTCATATGGAACATTCCTCACATGTTTCAGAATAGGATTACCTCGCTAAAATGGAAGGTATACAGTATAAGAGAGCAAGATGAAAAATGCAATTCACAATTCGAGAAAAAATAATAAGTATAAAAACAATATAAAAAAAGATTTAATTTAAGTAAATTTTGAGACTGTGTGTATCATAAATTAGCCACCAGTATTAGGTTTTGTGTAACGTAAATAAACGTAAACCTATTTTTACAGATGCTGAGACGCGTGCGGAATATTCGTCGTTCGATTCTCCAACTTTCACGATCTAGGCCTAGGTCTTGCCATTGCACTGTTGAATTAATCAGCAGAACGCTATGATGAAAATGATTTAAGACCGTTTTAAGCCTCCTCCGAGTAGGCTTTAATATCTAAGACGGCTAACTGGTTAGACTGCGGTATAGCAATGGTCTATAATCATAGACCAGTAGTGCCGTCCCGATTATAGCTGGCTAACCATTAAGACCATCTAAAGTCCGCTTAGAGCAACCCGCCCCTGAACTTAATACAGAAGAATGTCATACCTGCTTGGGGTGCACAATGAGACAATTGGATGAGACAGGCTTTGTGTTCACAACTACAGCATCGGCTGGTATCCTGAAATTAATTATGTTATGAGAATTAATAAAAACAAAAACACAGCAAAACATAAAAACAACAAAATAACAAAAACAACTCAAGTATTTTTAGCATGTATCTCGCTAATTAATGGAAGGTTTGGCGCAGTGGGAATGGTTTGGTTTCCCAGCCTTGAGGTCTGGGTTTCAATCCTTCACTGTGCATTTCGCTTGCAAGGCACTCTATTTTCATTGCTTCAGTCTACCCTGCTGTATCAATGGGTACCAAATTGCTGGGAGTTAAACCTGCGGTGGACAAACGTCCTACCCGGGGGGAGGGGAGATATTGCACGCTCAACCGATTCATGCTAAAGCAACTGGGGGTAAGCTTCAACCCTATGAGCCCTAGTGGCTTGATAAGGATTTACTATCTCGATAATTAGGAGGCCAAGAGTAAAAAATTGTGAAAATGAGGTAGATTCTCGGTTGATTTAAAAGGAAATACTTCTAGGCACTACACTAAATAACAATATGCTATGCCAAGATATCTATCAGTGAACATACTTAAACTTACACTGTTGGCTTTTCTGGCACCTTTGGCTCTTCATACTGTGTACTTTCCTTCAAGGCAGCAAATTTTGCAACAAATCCGGAGCCTACCTTGTTACCAGTTGATATAGAACTAAATTTTCCTGTCTCAGGAGCCAATGAGGTTGCCCTGGACTGGCCATCTAACCCAGGAGGGTTTGATTCTGAATGAGAGGTGCTGGATTGACCATCTCCAGATGATTCATGGGTAATAGTCAAGTGAGATATTTTTACATCTGTGCTTACTATAGATGGAACTGATCTATTTTGTGTCTCTTCTGCTTGAACTGGTGGTTTGTGAGTTGGTGCATGACTGTTGGAAGAGTCGTTGCCGTTTGCTTTTGTTGAGCAATCCGCAGCAGAAGTAGATGGTTTACTTTCATTTTCTTTAACACTTTTTCGAGATTTGAAATATGATTTTACCTAGAAGAAATAATTAAAAAAAATAAGATACAAATGGTTAACATCATGTCGCAAAGATTTTTGTAGTCTCTAGTTAGAGC